GGGGGGGGGGGGGGGGGGGGGAGGGGGGGACGGGGGTGTGTGTGTTCCAGGCACAAGGGTGACAACACGCAGCTGACTGCAGTGAGTTCCAGGCACTCTGGTACCTGGAGCATGGCGCCTCACGGGTCTGCAACCCTGCCCTGCCAGCCTAAGCCATACCTGCTGTGCTGGGTGGACTGGCTCCAACACCAAAAGGAAAAGGTACTCACAGCCCTTGTTCAGAGGTAAACTTCAGGAGAGGAGTTGGTAACAGTGTCTGGACCTTTGCAAACCTGACCCAGAGTTTGCCTCCATAACACATCATCAATGTGACACTGGGGCTATAGAAAGCTCTGCACAGAGGCTGCATTCAAACTGCTCTGCCTCTGCTGACTGTGCATATTCTCCCTCCACACCGATCAGTGCTTGTTGTGCACAGGCCTGGGCTGTGGCCTTGACTACCTAGATGCTTCCCTAACTGGAGTCACTCACAGCCACAGGCTAGCAGAGAAGGAAGGAAGCCAGCCCGAGAGAAAGCAGCTTGGGTCAGAGGGACTCTGTCAGCCAGGGTGAGAGGCCAGGACCCACACAAGCCTTATGGCCAGCTCTGGCTGCTCCTTGCTTCCTCCCAGGCAGAGGCCACCCACTTCCCAGGGATCACAGCTCTGGAAGCGCTCCCTCAAATCCGCCCTCAGCATTAGGGAACAAATTCCATCATTCCCTCATCTGGGTTGTTTGGGCTCAGGGAACACAAATGCATTTCACTGGCGTGATTTAAGCCAGGGCTTAAGCCATCTTGTGAGGCACTGCAGAGGCAAACAAGAGAAGCTTTGAAGATCATCCCCGACTGCGTGTCTTTGCCACCACGGTCACAGCCCTGTTCCTGCATCTGCCAGGGAGGAGCATGTGGCTGGAATCCCACTCTCACAGCTAAGAGTAGAGGCACAGCCACCCACCACTGCCGGCCACCCATCTCTAATGCCCTAACAATCTGGGGGAGGGGGCCTGCATCAGTCCCCTCAATGACTCTAACATGCAGTGATTCCCTTTCAGGCTGGAATCTAAGGGCCATGTACCGGGTGGGAGGGTGGTATCTCAGTCTGCAGGTGCCCCAGGAGGGCTGGGAGGGACCTATGTCCCAGCTCTCTTGCTTTGCTTACACCATTCCCCCTGGCAGGAATGCCCTTCCCCCAAAGCCTCTCATCAGTATCTTATTTGTCACGGCAGTTATTTATAACATAAAAAAAAAAATCAGCAACTACCTAAACATCCAACAACAGGTGACTCGCCAGCTCAACTGTGTCTGTGCAACGGCAGGAAGTGTGGGCACTGGCAAGGGCACTGCCCATCTTGGCCTCCCGTGGAGCCACCTCCGTATGAGCTAGGTGCTGGGACCAGGGCTGAATCTTCTTTCATTGTGGTTTCTGACATTATACGGTTATTTGTGCCACAAATTGTCTAAAACAATCCTGATGCTCAAGATAATGGCCCTTCTCTGAGATACCTTCCACAACCTCCACCTCCCTCCACCCCATATCAACAGCTCCCTGCTCTGCCGCATGGCATAGGAAGTTTTGTATATGCCTGTCCCTGATCTTGGCCCAGCTTTTGCCATGTATATGCACTCGTGCCCACAGGGACCCAGGGCTGGTCTCGGGATCTGTCTCCACTAAGGAAATCCAGGCCTCTGCTCATAGTCACATCAGCCAGGAGCCATGTCCTGCAGCTTCGTAGTTGGCACAGGGACAGATCTGCCTCCCTTCTACCATGGCTACCCTGATCTCAGCCAGTCACTGCTTCTCCTCACCAGTCTAAGTGAACTTACTTGCCGCCACCCCTAACTTGGCCCCAGGATGAAGAGGAGAAAGGGACATCCTGCTTCCAACTAGTGCCCTAGTCCCCTCCACGCTCACCCTCTCTACCATCTGCTACCCACTGCTGCTGCCTGGGAGGCTGCTGCTGTGTGCACCAAGCCCCTGGCACCTGCTTGCAAGGAAGGCTTTGGCCCCAAAGCTGGGAGGAGCAGCCAAGGGACAGCTTCAAGAACAGTGGAAGGCCAGGCAGAAAAGGGTTTGCATTTCTCACCCCCATGGCCCAGACAGCTCAGACACAACACCCAATAGTGGAGAGCTCTCCTCCCAGCGACACAGGACCTAGGCTCTGCCTCAGGTCCACACTGGGACAAGGGAGGGCACAGGAGACCCATAGCAGCCATTTCCCTAGAGACGTGGCTCCTTCCATTCTCTGCAGAGAAACTGAATGGGGTGCACAGGGGGTTGTCCAAAGGGAGCTTGGGGGTGTGCAGAGCCTGGCATTGCCACTGCCCCTCCAGCAGGGTTAAGGGAGCTTAGGGGCCAAGCACTCTCCGGTTAATGCCTGCTCAAGTCTGACCCCTGGGCTCAGGCAACTGAGCCTCAGGCAACCTCTGCCTATTGGTGCCCTGCTTATTGAAGCCTAAGGCATGTCTGGCCCAGGGGAAGACTGAGTGGGACAGAGGCCAGCTCCAGAGGCCCAGATGTCCTACACTGGAGCCCCTGTTCGGACCCCACCTTCCATAGCCATAAACAGGAGATTCCTGCTACCTTGGTCCTCTGCCACGTGGGGCTCCAGAGCTTGCAGTAAATCTAGGGAGGCCATGAGGGGCCCAGGAGGCCTCCAGCTATCTCCCAAGAGCTGTGGGCAACATCTCCCAATTTAATGCAGCTGTGAACACCAGCCTGCAGGCAACCCCCCTCCTCTTCTATGCTCTCCTCTCTCAGAGACTGGGGCTGGGTTTCCTGCTGCAATGGACATGCATAGGCCCACGCCCTGCCTGGCCCACGGTTGAGGCCTCACTCACAGGACAGGGAGAAATAAAGACCTCACTCTCAGGGTCTGGTGTCGGGAACCAGAGCCAAGCTTCTAGCTCAGTGTCCAATTGCTTCAGGGAACTGGGCAGGGGGTTCCCCTGGCTGGGCCTCAGGCTCTAGTTACATCATAGTCCATTGTTCCTGCTGCTGACTCTCTCCCATCTAATGAGGGAGCATGGAAAGGAAGATTTCTCCAGTCTTGGGGGTGGGCACACAGTCCAGTGCTGCCTCCAGAAAAGTTCAGCCCTCAACGTTCGGGCAGAGCCAAGAACCAACTGGCCCCTCCCAGGCACCTGAGGTCCCAATCTTTGAACCCCTGAAGGAAAATCCACTGGAAGCCCCACTTCCCTGTGGGTAAAGGAGAGGAAATGCTGGGGAAGGCCGCAGAGTAAAGGGTTGCTATGGTGATGGAAGTTTTAAAACAAGGGGGGTAGGGATGTCAGCCAAACCCCTTCTCCAAGAATTCCCTCAGACTTTGGCCTGGTTCCTTCCCAATGGGTTCTGTGACCCTGGTCCCCATAAGGAAGAGGATGTGGGGGAACCAAGAGATTTTAGAAAAGGCGGGGGGGGGGGGGGGGGGGGGCAGGGACACAGGAAGACAAAGACAGAAGCTGCAATGGAAGAGGAGCAAAGAGGCAACAGAGGAAAAGGTACACAGGCACAAAGACACAGGAGGGGAAGGTGGGCAAGGGGTTCTGAAGGGGCCTATGGGTATGCAGCAGAGCCCTAAGCTCTCCATGGCCATGTGCTCTGAACACCTGGGCCAGGAGCTGCCCCTGGTGCCTGGACCTCTGAGACTGAACCCTCTTGTATCCCCTAGACATGCACTGGACTTGGTGTGGGAGGCACAGTTGTAGCCGTGGGGAAGAGGCCAGCTGTTACGGTCCCCTCAGTCAGAACAGTTCCTCAGCCCCTCTCCCTGTCATCACAGCAGCTTAGGTAAGGCAGGTCCAACATGTCGCAGGCACAAGCTTGGGGGGATGGAAATGAAGCTTGGAGACCCGGCTTCCTTTTCCAGCCCCTCCTCTCAGCTGGCACAGCTCTGCCTAGACTCCCCAGCCGTGTGCCACCCCCCGCCCCAATCTGCTGTCCTTGTCAGGCCTCGGGTCCCCAGGGCCCCTCTTGCAATTCAGCCTAATTCCCTGCCACTGCCGTTCTCCTCCCCAACAGTGGATCCTGTTAGGAGGGCCAGAAACAGCACCCCAAGCAACCCAGAAACAGGATAACAACTGCACAGCACCTCGCCCCCATGCCTCAATTTCCCTAGACAGAGATCATGGACTCTGTAGCTTTCTCCCAGGGTCAAGGACTGCTCGTGAGTGGTGGCCAGGGCATGGGCTGGAGAGGAGGCCAGCAGCAGATATGGGAAAGGCAGCCTATGGCACCTGGGGGTCCACATCAAATGCTGTAAAAGAAAGGGAGACCCCTGCCCCACCCCAGGGCCCAGGCTGACACTGAGGGGAGTGGAAACACTCATTTCCCAGTTGAGAAAACTGGGGCCCAGCTGATGGCTAAAGCTGACAGGAATCAACTGGGAGTGAGGGAGGGGGCTCTCTGCACTTGGTCCTGGGGGTCTCAAAGCCTGGGCTTTGGAGGAGGGTGGCAGGACAAGGGCTGGACTGCTGCAGACTGAGCTCTCGGTAAGAGACGAGGGCCCTGATCCCTAGGAGAGAATGTGGTGGAGCAGGCTCTGCCTAGAGGGTGCGGACAAAAGCAGTTTGGCAGAGCTACGAGGGGCTGGGAGAGCCCAGGGTCTCTGGCAGACGCTACAAGCTGGGGAAGGCAGAAACTCACTTGCTCATTGTCCACCACCCCCAGCCAGGAGCCCTGCTCCCCACCGTGATGCCACCCTGACCCCCTTCTCCAGTGCTGCTGACTCGCCCCCGCTGGCACAGCAACACACATGCGGGAGGCACACGTGTGAGCACCAAGCCCCGCACCTCCCAGCAGAAACATGTGCGTCCCCCACCCCCACCGCGCAGCGCTGGGTCGGAGCCTCGCACCCCCGGCTGGCCCCCACATTAAGGCTTGGAAGCTGGATCTTGGCTAGCGGGGCTGCTGGTCCCCAGGGGCTTGGAGCCTCCTCCCCCACCCCGCGGCAGCCCCGCCCAGCCCCCTTCAGGTTGTCGCCCATAAAGAACTCTCCGTTGTCATGGAAATTAGTGACTGCCTTGCGGGAGGGAGGAGGCCCGGGGGCAGTTGGGAGGCGCTGGAGGCGGCTCTGGGAGTCAGGAGAGATGGCTCAGCTCTTGGCCCCTACCCCCATGGGGTACCACGAATGTTCGAGGGTTAATGTTTTCACAATCAGGAGCCCAGCGAGAAAGCGGGGTAGTAGGGGGGACGGGCAGGGAGGGGAAATTCGCCTGGACCTGAGTCTCAGAGGCTTTCCCTGGGACCCCCGATAGGTTCGAGGTGACGAGGAACTTTAGCCCAACCCTTCATGCCGACCCTCGGATCTACAGAGCACGCGTGCCCGGCCCCCGCCAGGACCCCATGCCCACGCGGCGCCTCCGCGCACTCGGCGACCCGAACCTTGAGCCAGAGACCCAATCCCCCCAAGATCCCCAAAACGCGCCTTCGAGGGGCACCCCGCCCCCGCCCAGCCCGCCCCGCACCTGCAGCGCCGGTCGGTCACAGGGAGGAAGCGATCGCGGGTTCAGTGGGGCGCCGAGGGCTCCGGGGGCGGCGGGCAGAATCCGCTCCGGGCACGCGGGGCAGACGCGGCGCCAGCTGCAGCCGCTTCGGCTCGCGAACCTCCAGCATCTCCCGCCGCTCGTCCGCACCGGATTCGCACCCCGGGCCGGGGGCGGGCTGGGGGCGGGGCCTCCCTCAGCCAGCCCCGCCCCGACCCTGGCGGAGCCTGAGGCTGGAATCCCACTCAAAGGTGGGCTGAGGAGGGGTGGCGGCCCAGTCGGTAAGCTCTGGCCTGCCTGGCCCTGGCAAGGTTCTCAAAGGCCCCTTTAGGCCCTCGGACTGACCGGGCAACAGGGGCCGGAGGCGCCTTCCCAGGCCCATTGTAGGTGGTAGGGAGTAGGAGGTGTCGGGAATGCCTAAGTCCTGGAGCTGCACAGGAGTCTCTTGGCAAGTGGTAGTCCCCAGGGGACCGGCGCTCTGCCCAGCTCCCCAAATCTAAACCAAAGGGTGGAACCTACTTAAAAGAACCAAGTGGCTAGTCACTAGGGCAAGCTGCTCTACAGACTGGCATCTCCTAGCTAGGAGTAGTAAACACATGGGTGTGTGTGTACAAGTGGTCAGTGAGGGCCCCAGACCACGGTGGCAGAGTCTCCCACCAGCTCCACCCTCCTCTCCTGCAGTTCAAAGCCTTTCCCATCACCAAGTCCCAGCCAGGAGCCTGGCCCAGTCTACCTCCTCCTGTGTGGCACTGAATTTCCCAAGCTGTAAAAGTCACCTGTGACATGGTGTGGACTCTGCTTTCCTCCCTGTTTAATCACCCTCAAACGCTTCATGAGCAGCATCACCATCAGTGGCCTGGGCTGGGATATGGGGATACAGGTGCTGTAGCACCAAGGTGCCGTACTAGACCTGGCCCCTGACTAGAGGAGGCTGAGAACTGCTAGGAAGAAGCTCTGAAGGAAGTCCTTGGCCATTTCTCTGTCCCTTGTCAGGGAGGCACGTGGACTCTATGCTTGCACCACCCCTGTCACAAGCCCCTAGGCCAGTACTGGAGGGCCAGATTTAAGCTTCTTGGTGGCCAGAACTGGGCTCTACCCCACCGAACCCTCCCAGTGAGCCTCCTGATCCCATCCTGGGTGGAGTCATCTCCAGACCCTTGGCCATGTTGACAGAGTCTCTCCTGCCTGGCTCCCCACGGCTGCTGACAGGGCAAGTGAGAAGTTGGGTCTGAAGCTGGAAGGCTAGCCTGGGAAATGACTGCTCAAAGAAGGCCCCTCAATATCTTCCTCCAGAGGGGTCATCGTGGAGTCCTTCACAACCTTCCCTGGCTTTGGGTCACTTCTTCCAGGCCAGGCTGATGCCAACTCTAGTCTCCCTGGACTCTGGGTGGTCGCGGGCATGGCACCAACTCTACCACTGGGTAGCAATCTCCTAGCGGGCTGGGCATCTACAGGGCAGAGACTGTGTCTCATCTCAGTATGCTCAGTTCATGTCCACAGAATGAATGAATGGTCTGGCACTCAGTCCTTTCTGCTGTCTGCCCCCTGTCCTTGAAACAACGGTTCTCTGAGTTGTATGGTACAGCCGAACCATGGTTTGCTGACCCCACACATGTCACACATGTTTTCTCTCTTTTCTAAAGGTTGTGGCTATCCAGGCATGGAGCAGCTGGGCCAAGGAGAAGCTCGAATAGGAGATTTAGAGGCAGAGGAAGAGGCAGCTCACTAGAGCCCTGCCTGCTGCTGGCAGTGCTCCACCTCTTCTTGGTCCTGCGCACACTCCATGTGCCTGTGGGTGAGAGCACGTGGCAGGGTGTGTGTGCACACGTGTGAGTGTGTCTGTGTGTGTGCGCGCTCTTATGCTGAAGGAGATGACAGCAGCACAGCGTGTGCTGTGGTGCCCAGGGGCACGTGTATCTGCATTCTGTGTGTACTCAAGCATGCTTGCTTGCACGTGCATGTGGACCTGTAGCTAGTCCCTAGAGCTACGGGTCCCTGGAGCTACTGGTGCCCTTCTCGCCTGACACAGGCCTCAGGATTATGGAAGCTGAATCAAAGTGTGAGAGCAGGACATGGGAAGAGGTTGGACCATGCCCAGGGATGAGGAGGGGCTGTGATGACCCTACATCGTTGGCTGTTTCTAGTCTCTCCTCCTAGAGAAGCCCCTCACTTTCAGGTGTGTGTGGAGGTAGCCAGGTCTTTGCCCTTTGTGGAGAGGGTAACCTAAAGACAAGAATCCAGGGTCAAGACTGGGTCATGGTTTGTCCCTCAGCCCCCAGCCAGAGAGGCACAGGCAGGATAGGGCTTCAGTGTCTTGGCTTCGATCTCCAGCTGCCCTCTGGGCAGGAAGTAGCAACACCAGCTGAATGCCATCCTCTCAGTTCTTCCAGGCCGTGGACTGGGCTGACATGGAGTTTTATTCCTACCCCCACTATTCAGAGCCAGACAAGGTCAGGGGCCATGACTTCTAGCCATCCTCCTGGCCAGAGGGCCAGCAGGAGGTGCTTTAGCACATGGCACCGTTTGGAAGAAGATGGGGCAGTTGGCATTAACATTGCCTGGTAGCCTCTGTGAGGATCTTCTGAGGAGGACTGTACTCCGGCCACCCTGAGTCAGGAGGCTGAGCAGGAGAAGGAAGCCCAAAGTTGACAGTTCTGACTCCCGCCAGAACTAGACAGTCAGAAAGGCAGGATAAGGTGTGAGCCTCTGTATCCACAGAGCCTACAAAGCAGGCCCGAGCATCATCCCCCAGCTCAGGTCATACCTCCCATCCAAGATCCAGGACTTATTTGCCCCCCCACTCCAACTTCCTGCCCCAGGACACCAAAGGCCAGCACTCCCATACCTTCATATTCTGACTGGCCAACAGAAGCCCCTGCCAACACAGCATAGAGCTCCAGCCAAAATTCAGACTTTAGGAGGTACCTACATTACCAGGCCAGCTCCCCCAAGAAGCCCTGACTGATAGGGACCCTCCCCTGGGGGAAAGAAATGCTCCAGGCTCCAGCCATCTTTGGAACTTTTTGGCTGTTTTCCATGTTGCTGGCCTCAGCCCCCCATATAGGGCCCAAGATGGAGGAAGGCAAGTAGTCTTCTCCTCTGGAGCTAGGGGAGGGGGCTGTCCCCCCACTTCATGACTCACTCCAGGCTGTGTGGGTTATTACATTATGTTTGAAATTTCCATGGCAACCAACTGGCAATCAAGGGTAATTGCGCTTGTCGCCAGGGCAACGGGGCAAAACCCACAGCAGCCACTCTGTGTTTGCCCTTGAGGTGCAGTAAAGGTCAGGCTAGACCAGAGCCAATGCCAGCTGAGGGGCTTGGGGATCTCTGGAAAGGATAGGATTGCCAAGGCTGTTGGAGTTGTAGTGTACAGAGGCAGGGTGTGCCTTGGGAATGCCAAGGGCCCCATCCCTGACCCCATGCCTGGACCTCTGCCCTTCACCACACTACCCTGTGCCTAAAACATGCCACAGTGTTCAAAGAAAGCAGAACCAGAACTTTTATGTGTTCACAGATGGTATTTGTAGATAGCCCATGGACCCTCCTCCTCGTACTCATGGCGGCTGATCCATAGGCTCTGGAAGGAGTCCCGGGATGCCATGATGGAGCCTCCAAGCCAAGCAGCAACCGCACGATGGGGAGAGCCCAGCACAGTGGCACGGGGGCCCAGCTCCTGTCTCAAGCGCTCAGGAAAGCCACTCACTAGGGTGCTTCCACCGTCCAGCACCACATTGGCCAGCAGCTGCTCCTGCTGCTTGGCCTCCAGCCGACTGATGCTTTGAAGGGCAAGTTGTGGGAGGCCTGGCTGGTTGAGGCCTAGCAGATTGGGCTGGAAGAGGGCCTCAGGGCAGCAGAAGCACTCAGAGCCAAGGGAGATGACCTGCTTGTCTGGAAGCATGAATTCCACCCGGGCTTGGGCCTGGGTGCGGGCCAGCTCAGCTGTCATATCCATGGCCATGTAGCAGCAGTGCTCTTTAATCTGGTTGACCAGTCCTGCCTTGGGTGGTGAGTGGCTACGTGCCAACAATAGCTGAGCCAGGTATTCAGTAAGGTCAGCACCGGCCACATCCAGCCGGTAGGTGTCAACTGGGGCGAGATCCCCAGTAAGGATGGGCGCCACGTAGGAGGTGCCATGGCCGCTGCCCAGCACCAGTCCAGTGGTGCGCCCGTAAGCATAGAGTGCCAGCAGGGCCTGATGCACTGTCTGCATGGCTGGCACATGGAAATGCTCAAAGAGTATTTCAGCCACCTTTTCTCGGTTGGTGCGTGGTGAGATGGGTGAGTCGGCCACAAGCACAGCCAGCTCCTCAGGCTGCACGCCCAGCCTGCAGTGGAACAGGTGCTGCCACAGCACCTCTAGTGCATCCCAATCAGAGACCACTCCTCGATTCAGCACCGAGTAGGAGCCCTCTTGGTTCTCAGGCACTGCATACCTGGGCTGGCCCTGGACTGGGTGCTGCAGCAGCTGGACACGTGAGGGCACCACACTGAGGATGTGGTCCTCTCCAGCCAGTCCACATTTGGTGAAGCCTGTGCCTGTGTCGATCACCACAGCCGCCCTGTCCTGGTAGGGGCCCAATGAGTGGCAGCAGAGCACTGGGGACAGTACTGGCAGAGCATCTGTGGTGGACACCAGCTCATAGCAGGCTCCACGGAGCAGGCCAAGGTGGGCGACCACTGATGAGTGTGTAACATCCTCAGCTGTCAGCTTGAAGTGGGGACCCTGAGACTCATTGCCCACCAGGGCCATGGGCAAGACTTTGCAGCCAGTGCCAGGTGTGGTGAAAGTGATCAGGGAAAGCTGCTCTTCCTGGGCCCTGGGGGAGCCCTCAGGTTGCCGGGATGAGAGCTGATGCATACTGGAGCTTTGAGTGGCACCCATGCTAACCTTTTCTCTGCTCACACAGACACAGGTCTCCTCAGGGGCCAGGGGCACCCGAAGTACCCCTACATGGGGAGGCAGGCCCAAGGTCTCACCTTCTTGGCACAAGGTGGAAGCCTGGCCAGGCACCCTGGTGGTGGAGGGCCCTCTTGAGAGGATGGGCTCTTTGGAGATAGGGGCTTCCTGGGAAAATGGAGGTTGCCCAGTGAGAGAAAGCTGCCCGGTAAGAGGGGTCCCAGTGAGAGGGAGCACACCAGGAAGGGGGATCTGCCTGGTGAGGAAGCACTGCTCAACCGACAGAGGCTGACCAGTTGGAGGGGGCTGTTCAGCGAGGGGATGCTGCTCAGCTAGTGGGGGCCGACCTCTGAGGGGAGCCTGCCCAGAACCTCCAGCCCGAGAGAAGTCAGGTTGAGCAGTAATGAACTGTTTCTGGTTGTGGCTGCCTATATCCTCCTGGAGCAGAGATCTGGGCACCTCCTGGGTTTTGGCTGGTGGAGCAGGCTCTGGGATCTGCTCTGAGTTCATCCACTGCAGTTTCTTGGCCTGGACCATGGAGGTATCCTGCATCCTGGAGGCATCTAGCATCCAGATGGTGTGACTCGCTTCATTTTTTTCAGCATCTGGTTTGGACCAGCCAGGATCATGGACATTGCTCAGTATCTTCTCACCAAATTGTAGGGGCATCCCCAGTGGAACGGGCCCAGTAAGCATCCCCACCCTGATGGGTGTCTCAGTACCAGGAGAGTCCCATGACTCCAGGTTGAGCCTGGCCTCCTTGGGAACCAGGGCTACCTCTCGGTAGCTGCCAGAGGAGAGGCTGGAGGGCACGGGGCTGGACAGCACAGGTGAGGTGGACCAGAAGCTGGAGTGATTGTTGTCAGGGGAGAGGATGGGCATGGCCAACAGCTGGGTAGACAGCATATTTTCAGGGGCATAGATGGGTGGGTGGCTGGGCACAAGGCCCACTAGCACTGCCCGTGAGCCCATGGGGTCATGGCACAGCAGCCCCATCCTGCTATTGCCTGTGGCCATATCAAATACCAGCACACGGTCTTCCACAGTGTCCTGGAGCTGGCAAGTAGGGGCACTGGAGGTGGGGATCTGCATGGCTTCCTTGAGAGACTGGACTGGGGTCTGCTTGTGGCAGGTTACTTGGTAGGCAGACAGTGGCACATTGGAGCAGGTGTTGTTGCAAACATTGAGGGGCTGCTGGTTTGGCTGAGAGCTGCAGATCTCCTGGCTACTCCTCTGGGACTTGGGGGTGTCCGGGGGTCCTGAGCCCGGTGTTGGGCTACCTGGCCTGGAGATAGAGACCAGGGGCTTCTCCACTGTGTTCTTGGACTGCTTGGGTAACACCTGCCTTCTGGCAACCTCGTGCTCCTGGGCATGGTCTGGGGACTCTTTTGGAGTGGGTGCTGGGGTGGGAGGCTCCTTCTGAGAACGGAAATTCACTTTGCCCTGGCAGGATGTGACCACTTTGGAAGACTCCAAGAGGATTGACTGTCGGTTGCCACACTTCCTGAGCAGGAGGTCTTGAGACAGGCCCTTGGTAATGGCAATAGTATTAGTCAGGTGGTTAAGGTTGCAGGTATAATGTTCAACTGCCGCTGGCATTGGGGTTGTATCCAGAGCTGGAGTATTGGCTTGAGCTGGAGTTGTTGGAGGAGCCTGAGCCAGACACGGGCACTTGCCCTGGCCCTGATCTTGGGCTGTAGCCAGAAGAGGACCTTGGGCTGCAGCTAAGCCATCCTCCCCTGAAAGGAAGTAGGGTAGCCACCGACTCTTCCTGATGCCTGAGGGGGCTATCTGATTGGGGCTGCAAGGGCCTTTGCCCCAGCCTACCAGGACTTTAGCTGGAGCCTTGCCTTCCCCCTCAACCTGCACCTGAATCCGGGAGCGGCAGGGTCCATGCTGGGCCATGTCACTGGTGCTGTCACTGCGAGTGCACACAGGTAGGGCCAGGGTCCCATTCTCCATGACGAGATGCATTTGGGCTCCCACGATGGGGCTTGGAAACGAGCTAGTGGAGGAGAGTCTCAGGGCATCCTGGGAGGCCCGCTCACAGCCACACTGTGAGCTAACCTCAGTAGGGTCCCGGAGTAGCTGGTGAATGGGCTCGGGGGCGTGAGCTTGGGGGGCTGGGCCACAGGCCTCATCAGTGATGGCCTCAGTGGACAATGACAACCCCTGCCTGAAGCATACAGATCCTGAGTTTATCCATGGTCCCTGGGACCCTCTGAGGCCACCCCCCAGCTCCTGGCTGCCAGCCGAGGGGTGGCTCTGGGGGCCCGATGGATCAGGGCCCCCCACCTTCTTGGTGACTTCCATAGTCCTGCTCCATGCCCTAGCTGCCCTGCCCCCACTTCATTGCCATGGCAACCCCACACATCACAGCCCCCAGTGACCTGGGGGGTAACAGTGTGGGAAACCAGGGGCCCCACCCCCATGAAGAATGGGGGCCTGCCCGGGGAACCTTGGGAGACAGAAAGGCCCAGGGACCCCGGTTAACTCTGCCAACCCTGGGCCTCCTCTCCCCTTACTCACCAGGTGACCACTCTGCTCAAGCTAGCCCTAGAGCCAGGGCAGAGTCGTGAGATGGGGACAATGTAAGGCCAAGGGAGAAAGGTAAGCAGGGGAGATGCTAAGGAAGCCCCTGGTTTCCCAGTCTACCACACATGTCAGACTTGGCTCTTTCTCCTCATTTCCCATATGGTGACTCGAGACTTAAGCGCTGACCCAGGGATGCAGTTCCAAGTATGTGACATGAGGCCCTTCAGGGTCCAAAGCCCCTTCACTACTCAGTCATGGGAGGCAGAAAAGGGCGAGGGGCCCAGGCTCAGGCCCAAGCTCCCTTTCCCCATGTTCCCCAGCTCCCATTCCAGGGACAGCAGCTCCTTGGCAGTCTTTCTGCTCCAGATGGTTCTCCTCTGCCTGTGTTTCATAGAGCCCCCTCCCCAGAGCCACATGTCCTTGAAGCCCAGGACCAGTATCCCACAGAGGTGGGGGTGGGGACAGCAAGGGTGGGGCCTCTGCTCAGAATCCTCAAGTCAGAATGGAATGTTCTAGCTCTTGTCACATTGTGTCGTTTACCTTGGCCAGAAGTGGGGCAGAGCACTGGGCATAGGGTTAGGTCACAGGGGACACAGGACCAGCCAAGTGGCAATTACAGGATGGGGCATAGTAGGGACACAGTGGTTACAGGGCTGTCTACACAATGGCCACAGGGCTGGCTACACACTGGGGGTACGGTGGGTACAAGACTGGGCACAAAGTGGGCATAGCTGCATATATAGTGAGGACAAATCAGACAAAGGACTGGACATAGGGTGGGCACATAGGAAATGTAAGCTTTTAGAGGGTGGGCAGTTCCATCCTCCATTTCTTAGATGGGCAAACAGAGGGGCAGGGAGGATCAGGACCTGCCTAGACCACAAGCCCAGGCCCAAACATGCCCTGCAACCACAGAGGACAGGCCTAGGTAGCAGTTTGGGGAACCGCCCACTGCCACAGGCTGGGTCTGCAGGTTCTGACCTGGGGTGGGATCACATGCCGACGCCCCCTCCCCCCCCCCCCCCCCCCCCCCCGCCCCTGCCCCCAGCTACGAGCTCTGGGCCTCCATCTTCTGTCCTCCAGGACTGTGTACTTTCAGGCCTCAGTCTTTCCACCCAGGAAACAGGTTTGTGAAGAACGCAGCTGCAGTCTTGTCCTCTGAGGCAGTATGTTTTCACAGAGGTTAAAAATAGTGCTTACAGTTGGCCGTGGTGTGTGAAGCGATGTGACCCGGGACCAAGGTTAGCACTGTGCTATATCTGCACCTTCCTGACTAGGCACTGGGCAAAGCCTGACTCAGCCATATCTCAGGTCTCCTGGACCCCCTCCCTGTTCCCCAGATGTTGCCTTCAGTTAAGAATGGGGACAGACATTTTCAGAACTCTGCTGTTTACCACATACTATGGCCCAGGAAGGTGGCAGAGCCCCAGGGTCTGTGGCCTGCATATGTGTGCGTGCACACACACATACTTGCTGAACACTAACTTCATTAATCTCTGGTCCTGAGCAAACTGAATTTGTTGTTTCGTTTTCCCCACAACAGATGCTAGTAGCAGCTTCTAGTGTCTGTGTAGCCCTTGGGCTGGGCTGCACCTGGGAGGGTTAGGGAGGCATGGAGAGAGGCCCTGAGAGGCCCCTGCCTGTCTGACCACTGAGCCATCCCCACCTCCTGCAGAAGTGAGGCATGATCCGCCTTTCCAGGGCTGGGGTCTTGGTGAACAACTGCCCTGAGGTATGCTGAGGGAAGGGAACAGAGTCAGCTGAAGGGTGTGGCCCATGAAAGAAGGCCCAAAGAAGGCAGTCTGGAGAGAGAAGAAGCCCTTTCCACCTGGGAAGCAAGCACCCCTTATAGCGATAAGAACAATGACTGACATTGATTGGGTCTTTCATCTGTGCCAGGCAGTGCTGAGCACATGTAAGCCAGCCTCGCAGCAATTCATTGAGCAGGGCACTATCATCCTCATTTTACAAATGAGGAAATCAAGGCACAGAGAGGAGAAAGAATTCATAGAAGTCTCAGCTAGTGAATAGTAGAGCCAGAATCTGAAGCCAGGCCCCCAGGTTCTGGACCCACACTTCAGAAACCTATTGTGCCACTACTGGGTGCCATGCCCAGGGCCACACAGGCATGGACCCTGCTGGAGGAGAGCCAACATGCCTCCCTTCTGAGTGCTGCAGCCCCAAGCCCCCACCCAAGCTGTGTCCCACATGGACCTGATCCTCCTCCCAATAGATTAGCAGGTGGTCCAGGCCTAGAGTGGACATTTTCCTTGTTGGTGCCATTAAGCCAGTGCCCTGCCAGGAACCTGGTGGTGCTGAGTAGGGGCCAGTGACACACCCTGTGGGACCGGGCTGACTCCTTTGTATTCAGAATTCTTGGCTGCCCAAAGCCCACTCTATTCCATCCAGCTGAGGGGAAGGGCAGCAGGGCAGGTAGAGGCTCCCAGGCTGGGCCCCTTCTGCCCAACCCCCAGGGATCAGGCAGGGATATTGCCCCTGTACCCCTCCCCTCAACATGTTTTTAAATAGTCTCTCACCAGGAAGAAGGGCATCCAATTCTATTTCTGATTCTGGAAAGTGAGGAGGGCCAACATGTTGCCATGGCAACCTGGAAAACCCCTCCCCCAGGCTGAGCCCATTCCCCAGGCTGAGGGCTCTCTGGGATGAAGGGACCAAGAAGGGACTAGAAGGAGCTCAGTCTGAAGGCAAGGCCACACAAAGTCTCCTCTGTGAGGACAAGTCCCAACATTACCTTTCCTCACAATTCACCGCTCCCCCTACCCATGTGGAGAGGGTCAGACTTCAGGAGATCGGGAGAATTATATCACTCTGAGAAACTCTTCTTCCCTGTGGGTCAGGCTGGGACCCTCCCATCTAGGGGTGCTAGAGGATGGTGTGCAGGAAGGGCATCAAGGGGAGAGGAGCAGAGGCTGCATTCTACTGGGAGCTCCGTGACCAACCAAGTCGCCCAGAACTGTTTCTCCAATGCAGACATGTTTTTGGCTCCATTGTATTCTCAGGAGGCAGCTCTGTCAAGTCCCTGGCCCTGCAGTCTTCTAGTCTGCCGGTACCCTGGGAAGACTCTGGACGTCTCCAAAAATCTAGGATCAGAAGGAGCCTTAAAGGACTCCCACTGTAGCCAACCACTTAATAATGGAGTGAAAAGCAAGGTCTGTTTCCCTAGAGGGTCATCCTTGCTTACTTTTCAGGGGCCTGTTCACCAGCCGTTCTGGCCCATGGGCTACAGGTGAGTAACATTTAGAGCTGTGGAGGGAGGGCGTTCCAGGAAGGAGCACAGCCCAGGAAAGGCAGGTTTCTGAAAAGACCCAAAAGGATCTTGTGATCAACCCTTTCTGGGTACTGATGGGAAACCACAGCCCTCAAGGAGGAAGGGTGCACTCATGGTCTCCCAGCTCTTCACCCAGGGCTCTGTGTGTGTTTTCTTCTCCTGACCTTCCTCCCTGGAAGTGATTCAAGTGACCTGTGAGCCCTAACTTCCTACTTCTCTGAAATCTCTCCTGGTACCCATTCCATGGAGGTAGCACCATGTTTGAAGGAGCTGGTGCCTCCTCTCCTCTGGTCCCTCTGCCTGACTCCAAAGGAAGACAGCCAGGGTACAGAGAACCCCAGTCCAAGGGGAACCTATGGCAGGGTGGGGGGTGGGGGTGATAATCCACTCCTAATCTAGGATGTGGAAGGCAAAACCCAAGAGTGCAGAAAGATGTGGCTTTTGAGCTCTAAAGCACAGGGAAATTTAAATAACAGATGTTTAAACAACCTTCCCTGCAAGCCATGGTGCAGTGACCCCTCTGCTGTGATGTGTTACAGCTTAAAAATAGCCCACAATGAACTGCTCTGAGCTCCAATTGACTCAAGCTTACGTAACTCTGCGTGAAAGATGGCCAGCCGCACCATCCTGGAGGGAGGGCAACAGCACAGCCACCCTGACTGCTGCCCACAGCTGGCTTAGGGGCTGAGGTGGGCTTCTCACCCTCCCTGGGAGCAGCCTCCCATCCAGGAGCCAGCAGAGGTGGGGGCAAAGGAAGTGTGCCAGAAGTACACATGACTTCATGACTGCCGAGAAGAGACCTCCAACTGTGCCTGCAGAGGGGGTGTGAGGAGAGCTGCCCTCCCTCAGGGTCCCTGAGGAACCCTGGCCCAAGGAGGGTGGGGTGACTTTAAGAACAGATGACTGGGTCAGAGAGACCAGGGCAGGAGCCCATGTGGGCAGGCTGACTGGGGTTGCCCAAATAATTCCTTTCCCCCTTTGAAGAGGGGGCTCCCCAGCTTGGAGGAACATGTCAGCAAAGCTGATGCCTGGCTGAAGCTGTCACTGCCATGGAGCCCAGGGGTAGAGCTAACTCCTTTGGGGCCTCTAAGTCTCCATGGTCCAGGCTGCACAGGTGGGATTTGCGGCATGAGGAAGGGAGGGCTGGCTTCAAAGCTGATTGAATCTTGTGATCTTGGTCACCAGCTGCTTTGAGTCCCCTGCCTTCCCTGATGCATTCCCAGATCCCAAGTACCCAGTCCAAGACTGACTACAAGTGTGCAGGTGGCTAAACCAACGTGACAGGGAGCAGAGAGGAGAGAAAGCAAGGACGCCCTTGGCATTGGGAACCTCTCGTACTCCCTCTGCCTCTGCCTGTGCTGGGCCCCAGGGATTCAGCAACTCCCCTCAGCTCCCACCATCTCAGCTCAAAATAGGAACCACCACGTGCCCGGCCCCTGAGATCCCACGGAGCAACAGTGAAACTGGCGAGGGCCAAATATAAGCCCTCCTGCCATCTGCCCAGCAAAGGACAGGCTGTCAGGACCATTAGTGCCTCTGCTTCCCTTCCAAGGTCAGGGCTGTCAGATAGGTGGAGCAGAAGTTCCTGGGGAACGAGTAGCTGTGGAGGGGCAGAAGCTTGTCCTGGACTCCTCAACCTACCAAGCAAGGGAAGGGCTTGCTCTTGTTGCCCTCTGTCCAGGGCAGCTCCACAGTCCCTGCTAGGCCTGGCACGAACATCCTGAGACCAGAGACAGAGGATGCTCAGGGCTTTGAAGGAATAGACAGCAAGACACAGAGGATATGGGGAGGCTCAGGAGCAGAGCCACCCTTCCTTATAGAGAGTGTGAGTTCCTGTCTGGGATGGACTCATGGGAATGGGAGTTCAGGAGAAAGTCATTTCTGGGGGCATTTGAAGGTGTCAGTGCAAGATGGCTGGGATCCAGGTACCACACATCTGGACTGAGCTGGGTCAGGCAGGCTCTGCCACCCTCTGGGCACCTGCTGCCTAGCTTTGGTCCAAGGACCAAGTGTGAAGGCCATGCTGCAGGTCACTGTCCTGCGATCTGAAGAACCCAGCCCACCCAGGAGGCTGTGATAGCCGGAGATGAATGTGGCAGCAGGCGAGGCTCTCTAGGCATCTATGCTCGTTGGGTTAAAAAGCCCAAGTACAACAAACCCCAAAAGAGAGGAGGGAGAGTCTCAGGCTCAGCTGGCCCCACTGTGCCAGATAGGAAATACTGGGGGTGCTTCACTGAATCATCACCACTCCTTCAGGCCATGTAGCTCCACCCCTGGGCTGGTTGAACTCTCACATGGGCAAAGCAGAGGCTCTGGGTGAAGAGATGCCCAGTTCCTGGGGTCTTCATGGAGGGGAGTTCTCCAGCCCAGCATAGAGTAAAAGGTGTTTTTTTTTTTTTTTTATCAGGGCTTGGCAGATGGAGGCTCAGTACTCAACTACTGATTTCCAGGGCTCCTTCTCCCCAGGCAGAGGCAATAAGTTTGAGAAATGCAACCTAGGCTTCCCTGAGCCTCAGAATCTTGCAGCAGTGCCCACATGCCCCTATCCCACCCCAGTACCGGAGGGTCCTGCTCTCTCCTACAGGTGAAGGGAATTAGTTCATGAAATGGAACAAGAGGTGGACCTAGGACCTCATGGGCTGCACTGAGGGAGTGGACTGATGAAGCCACTGTCTAGGAAGGCCCTCGTGTTTGAAATGGGGCAGTATCTGGAGCCCTCAGGTGTGATCCCAGAGAGCCTTTGGATCCCGGGGAAAATTCTCTGAAAGGTTGGGGCTAAGGATAAGGGAAATCTCATACCAGACTCATGGTCCCCCAGCAAAGCAGGTCGATCTACCACGCTGGCCCTCCAGGTGCCAGACAACAGTGACACAGTGGGCAGTCAGGAGAGTGTGAATCATCTGCTGCTTCCTCAGCCCAGCTCCCATCCTGACTTCCCTCCAGCCTTTACTGACACCTGTTTGCCCCAGCCCCACTAGACTGCAATGTATGAAGATGAGGCAGAGGAGCTGGTACTTGCTCCCAACAGCTCATGGTAGGAAGGCTGGACTCTCAAATCCTTGGGAGAAACCTCTGCCCACTCTATCCTACCCTAGTGGCAGGCCTGGGCCTACCATGGCCACCAGCAATTTTCCCTTGCTCTGGCCACACACCATACCTAAGATCTTACTGAGGCCTCCCTCAAGGGAAAGGCAGCCCAGGCTTCAGTAGCCCTGGAAGCCACTTAGAAACCTCCTGGTCCCCCCAGCCCATCTAGGGGCCTAGAATCCACCCTTCCTCTCTTTCCTGGTGGCCCAGTCAAGAATTTGAAACCCTGATGTAGTTCCAGCTCCTGACACTCTAGATGGACTTGAGACTATCAGGTGGCTCTGAGAACAGAGCTCAGAGCTTGGGGGCTGCAGCACTGGGGGGATGGAGTGCAGCTGTGCCATGATCCAGGAGCCCAAGCATCTGCTTAACTGGGGCCCCTTTTTGAAGAATCCTGGCCCTGAGGGCCCTTGGCCCAGAAACAGGCCCAAAGCCTCACAATCTGGCTGCACAGGAAATCTGACACCCCTTGAGCTCTCTTCCATCTCCCTTCTCTGGCACCCCTCTCCTCACTAAGCTTCCCTCCCATCCAGAGACCCCCTTCCTCTGTAAGCCCCTCTCTTATGAAGAGATGAGCCAGTGGTCCACGAGCTGCAGAGGCTCACTGGGGAAGGAGCCTCAGTCTATCTTCAGAGAAGCCCCTGGGCCTTCTCCTCACTCCCCACCCAGGGCTTAGAGTGCTGCATGACCCTTAGATTGCCAGGATGAGATTAGGGAATGAGGACTGCAAGTTGGAGAGATAGAGACACTCCTTTCCAACTGGTATGGGGGCCACAGCTATGGGGGTACTCCAGGACATTGCACCCACCTCTCTCCCAGCCTCAGGGGTGATACAACTCTTTCCCTCCCACACAGAGACAAGGGTTCTCCAGCCAAGCATGCAAGGCTACAACCTCATCTGTGGCTGCACTGATGGGCATCAGAGGTGCAGTAGCAAGCAGGCAGACAAAGTCTGTCTCTACCCCTCTCCAGCTTATAGGCCCCTGATCTTCAGATCCCTGCTCTTATGCAGAAGAGTCCCCTTCTAAGCGTTACCCACCTGTCCTCAGAGTCCTTAGGGTCCTCATGGCTGGGTGTCCCCCTGGCCTTAGGTGACAGAGTGGGCAGCAGTACAGATAGAGAACAGCTGAGCAGCTCCAGTCCCAAGGAGACGTCCACTCTGCTTACCAGGGAGCTCTTGCCTCAAACCCAGAGTTCCACTTGTGACAGGGCAAAATGCTGGGGACTCACAGGGGAGGAAGCCTACTCCCCTTAGGGTGAGCTGGGGTCTCCCAACTGGGAGGATAGAGGCCATGGGGGTCTTGAGCAAGAAAGAGGATCCACCATGATGTATGTCCTGGGCGCAGCCACCCTGGTACCCTGGCCATCCACACCAGAAGGGCCCAGCTACCTCCTTAGCATCAAGGGTGTAGGAGAGGGGTAGTATGAGGAAGGAGCTGTTGTTCTCTAGTGGAGCCTGCCCCTCTAGTGGCTATTGTACAGTAGCCTTGATGAGTATAAATAGCCTGGGCTGTCGGCACCTGGAAGCTGGTGCCTTGAAAGTGTGGAGCTGAGGCCTTGCTGCTGGCTCATCCCTCTCAAGGCTGCAAGAGCAATGCTGGCAGGGTTGAGGCAGAAGGGAACAGGCCTCCATACCTCTGCAGTGTGTTTGTTTGGGGTGGGAGGGAGTACAGGAGGCTTCACGTAGAGCCCTGGAGAGGGAATCGGGTCCAGGGAACAGGACAGGCAGACTGGGCAGTGGGAGAAGCCATTCTGGCTGCTGCATGCCTGGGTACACAACCCACCCCTCTTGGTTCCCATCTAAAAGTCCCCAGGGCCCTGTAACCTGGATCTGGGCCTTCCCTACCCTTCCTATTCTCTGGAGCCTTCTTGTTGACCCAAGCCCTTTCCAGTCTCAGGGTCTTTGCATGTGCTACTCACTCTGCCAGAAACTCTCTTCCCCCAGCTGCTTCTGGCACAGCTCCCACCTGACAAGTTCTCAGCAAAAATGTCACCTCTTGCTGTGGCTTTCCTCACCTCTCTATCTAAAGCTGTCCTTCATTCCCTCAAAGCAGCCTTTTTGTTTCATAGCATTCACCACAATTTGCACTTGAATATTCATTTGTTCATTTACTGGTTCAAGGGCCAGTGTCTGTGTGGTCACCATTGAGTCCCCTGTGCATGGTGGCCAGGCACATAGCAGGTGCTCCATAAATACTCATTGCATCAAGGATCGCCCTCACTGGCTCCCTCTGTGGAGTAAGAGGTCAATGAGCCCTGCTCCCCTCCTATCATCCCTCAAGGTTAAGGGGCAGAGACAGGGCAGAGGCCAGCTTGAGCTTCCTCCTGACCCAGCATGGCCCAGAAGGAGCTTAGGGTTAACTCCTGGGTTGCTATGCTGATCCGGCCCCCCAGGGCCTGCCTAGGGCTGAGGTCATGTGGGGCTTGGTGGTTCTGAGAGGGGCCGGGACTGCCCCATGCTCCTCCACATGGGTGGGGATGGTGACTGCTCCAGGGGCATGTTCACCTCATTCAAGGCACCAGGGCCCAGGTTCACATAGGCCGTGGGCAGCTGCACATAGTGGTCGCCATACAGTGCGGCCACCACGCGCTCCACTTCCCCTGTTAGCATCCTGAAGGTGGGTCGTGCTGCAGGGTCCTCTGCCCAGCAGCGCTCCATCACTGCATACCTGCAAGAGGAAGGAAACTTCAGGGGCAGGGTGTGTATCCCGACCCAGAGATTCTGGGTTGCCCGCCGTTAACCCCCTGGCAGGCCACATAGGGGTGAGGACAGGTGACAGGGCCTTGTGCCTAGCATTGCCCAATCAGGGGCAGCTCTTCTCATCATTGTGATTGCCTTCCCACTCTGGCAGAGGTCAAATTACCTCAGGGATTAAGATCTTGGGTTCCTGTGCCCTGTGACCTGGGTGGTGTGATCTTGGGCAAGTTCCTTAACTTTTCTGTGCCTCTGGATCCTCCTCTGATCACAGAGCTATTGGGGCATAAGGTGAGTGGATGCCTGTAAAGTGCTTAGCTTAGGACCCAGCTCACAAGCTATCAGGGTTATCATCACATGTCTTTAGGAAGGAAGCCCAGATCCAGTGAAATGGGGATTAAAAGGCCTGAGACAAGGACAGGTGGGGCAGTACCAGTGGCACCATGGTTCCCAAGCAGAGTTTCTCTGGGTTTTCCTAGTGGGTCCTAGTACATTCCCCTTTATCTTGGGAATGTCATCCCTGCCTTAAATGATGCTCTAAGTGCCCTATACACAATAATCTCATATGATTCTCAGACTCTCTGAGGGTGGTACTATTATCATCTCAGCTTTACAGATGAGGAAAGTGAGGCCCAGAGAGGAGAAGGGACTTGTCCTGGAATAGTGGATGCTGTGTATGCTATCTGGATTACCTCCCTCATTCTTCCAGTAGCTGCTGATGGCTCATGGCTGATACCCTCTCTAGGAATTGCCCTAGGCGGAAAAAAACTGCCTCCTCCAAGCTCATACTCCCTCCTCGGGGACAGCTGTGACCAGCGACTGATTAAGGTCTGGTTCAAAGACCTGGCACCTTGATCTCAATTTCAGGAAACTCTGAAGGCCTATCCCAGATCAAGCAGTCCCTGTGGGATGGGCTGTGGCTTCTGCTGCATCTGCATCTCAGCCCAACTTCTCCCTCTGCCCAGTCTTGCTTCCCTTGCCCCCTACCTACCATAAATGCCCTGCACATAAATCTCCATCTCAGAGTCTGTTTCAGGGAGACTGACCTGGAGGCAGATTGGCAGTGAATTTGCCTTACTTCAAAGCAGATACATTGGTGAAGTGAATAATAAAGATCAAACTCAAGACAGGCAGGGCTGTGAGGAAGGGTTACTCATACCCGTCTGAGTCCAGCCTGAGACAGAATCACCAACTACCTTTACCTGTGACCTGGTTCTTCCTGTTCTAACCACAAAGACCTGGGCACAGCTGAGGCATGTGTACTGCTTATGAAGCTGAACCTTGAAACTAAACCCACCTGATAGGCACTAATGACAACATGGCTGCCACCATGCCTTTGGGAACAGGGAATCTGAAACTACATCCACTGAGAAAATATCTCATCTGAAAACATGGAGGGGGCTAGGTGGGAGCCAATGAAACCTTTCCCTGAGGTTAAGTGAGTGAAAAAGATGGAGAACAGCCCCCCTTGGCGAGGGTTGGAGGAGAGGAGTGCTGGGAAATCAAATCACAGGCCTCAACCCAGACTTTTAGTTGGGAATGCTGTTACCATGGCAACCATGATATCCTCCAAGCACCCAGCCCTGAATGGGGACAGAACCAGTCCACAGATAGGAAACTGAGGCCCAGAGAGAGTCCCTTTCTTGGTCAACAAGAAGATCACTCACAGAGCCAGGCATGAACTCTGTCTCCTGCTCCCTCCTTGTCTCAGGGGCCCAGCTCCCTCCCCTTCACCCCCTCCACATACTCACAGAGAACTGGGACAATACTCAGGCTGAGGCAGGCGCCGACCCTGAGCCAGGAAGTGAGTGAGGTCAAAAGGGTCAATGTTGGGGTATGGTGGGGCACCTCGTGTCAGCAGCTCCCATAGCAGCACACCAAACGACCACTGTGAGAGAGGAAGAGAGGAGGTGACTCAACTCTACCCCAAATTTTGGGGCAGGTGGGCTCCCCAGGTCCTCTACCTCCTGGAGCCCTCTAGCTGGAAATAGGGGGCTCCACTTCCCAATCAGAGTCCATTCCTCAATACCTCACAAGCATCTTCCCTCTGTCTCTTCCCACCAGCTGAACCTGCCCAGAGTGGAGCTGGGCAGGACCTGGATTGTCTGTGAGGAGCCAATAAATTCACAGCCTTCTCTTGCCCTGGCAGATATCAGATTCTACCTGACACCTGCCCAAGAGACAGGCAATGGCATGTGGGGGCAGCCCAGCTTGGGGATTCCCTGGGCCCAGATCATCATCTGAAGCCTAACGGAAGGCCAATTGTTCACCAAGGACACTTCGGCCATGTGGACTCTGTTGCTGGTAAAGCCTCACCACATCAGACTTGGTAGTGAATTTGTAGGTCTGAAGGCTCTCCAGTGCCATCCATTTGACAGGTAGGCGAGCATGGCGGTGCTGCCGAATACTGTAGTACTCCTTGTCCAGGACATAGCGAGCCAGACCAAAGTCAGCCACCTTGACTGTGAATGATTCATCCAGCCTGTGAGGGGAAATCATACTCAGGACTGGCCCCCACCAGGCCCTGAACCCACCTGTTCTATGCCCTTACAAGGTTTCAGAGTCATAGCATCCAATCCAAGCCTGCTCTGGGCAGACAGGAAAACTGATACCCAGAGAGCAGAGGACATGCCCAAGGCTGCATAGCAAAGGCTGGAGCATGGGCCCTTCCATGAGGTGCCTTTAGGCAGCTGTGTACCCTGGTGCCCTGGCCCCTTGCTTCACCCCAACAGCTCTGGCCCCTCACATGCAGTTCCGAGCAGCTAGGTCCCTGTGCACAAATTTCTGCTCTGCCAGGTACTCCATGCCGTGGGCTACCTGCAGGCCGAAGCTGATGAGGTCCTTCACCGTGGGGTTCTAGGGGCACAGGAGGGTCAGTAAGCAAGGACAGAGTAGTTCCATCCCCAGCTGCTGCCCAAGCCCCCCAACCCAGGACCAGCTGAGCACTGACCCGCTGGGGTGAGCGGATGAACCGGAGCAGGTCTCCATGTCGCATAAAGGGCAGTAACACACAAGGCAGCCCTTCAGGTGGCAGCACAATACCGATGAGAGCCAGCACATTTGGATGGTGCAGACCACGCATGAGCAGTCCCTCACGTAGGAAGGCCTCCACCTCCTGTACCTCTGTGATGCCTACAGAGTGGCTTGAGTCAGGCCCAGGGCAGGGCATCCCCTTACAAGGGTCAGATGGGGAAATGGAAAAGAAAGGTCTCTTGCTCAGGGTCACTCAACAAGGTGGTAGCACAGCAGGGATGAGGACCCTCTCAGCTTCTGCTCCACTTACGACTCAGTGACTTGACGGCACAGTGGATTCGATTCTGGGCCTTGTCTGTGTATTCTCCATGGTAGACAACTCCAAAATGCCCTGGTGAGGGAGAGATGGTGAGAGGGGCCCCAGTGCCCAGGGTTCACACCACACCCTCTCATTGGCAACCAGGCTTCAGAGCACCAACTGGCAATCTGACATTAAAAACAAGCAGCAGCCACATGATGGCATAGCGTGCAGCCCTCCTGTGCCCACTTAATGTGCATCAGAACCCACTGAAGACAGAATTCCTCTTTTACAGATGAGCAAATGGAGGCTCAGAGAGGCTGTATGGTATGCCCAAGGTCATCCAGAGCAGAGTCCTGCCCAATTGTCCCTTCAGGCCATGTCATCTCAGGACTCATCTCTGCCCCAGCCCCGCCTGGCCTGGCCATAATACCTTTGCCAATGACTTGGTTACTGTGGGTAACCACATGTTCATGGGGAATCAGCACATCCTTGACCTCGGCCAAGAGTGAAGAGTCCAGGTCCCCAAGCTGGATGGACTCTGTCTGCAGCAGTGGGATACAGGACCCATCCCTGCTGTCTGAGAAGGACGCTCTGTGGACCCGAGTGGTGGAATCCAGACCATCAATGGCAGGGGCTGCTGTGAAGGAGAGGGAGTAAGGGACTTGTGGAGCAGAGGGTATGAGCCTAGCTTCTAGCTCCTCCACCATCTCACCAAGGCCATTTCTGCAGTCAGACCCTGAGTGAAGCATAGGTAGAGACACAGCTCCAGTGGTCCTGTTCAGGGATGCCGGGTTATCCAGGTTTGGAGAAAGGACTGTGGAAAGACAGCCCCTGATGGCCAGCCTCTCCAAGCTCCTAGAGGCCAATCCCCACCCAGGAGGTGTAGGCAGACCCCAAAGGTCAGGACAGAGAGAGGATATATGGATTCGGAGATGCCATTGTTTAGGGGTTGGCGTGAGTCAGGATGGGAGTGGAGAACTCACCTAGCTGCTTCTTCCGCCGGTAGTTGAAGACTAATGCAGTGGCCAGTACAGCCACAAGTAGGAGCAGGGCCAGCAGGACACCAAGGAGTGTCCTCTGTGGGAACCTCTGTCGGGCTTGCTGCACTACCCTGCCCAGGATGTGACATTCACCATTCACGCAGACCTGGGGGCAGGTGGCAGCTTAGGCCCAGCCTGCAGGCCCCAGCCCATGTCTCCTGTGGAGGGCAAGCTGAGCTGCCTACCTGCAGTGGGGTGCCATCCTTGCCAAGTTGCAGGGAGGGGGGCAGGGGACAGATGACCACATCCCCCCGGAGCTCGTGCTGGCAGCTCTCACCACCCACGGTCACGTTCACATCCACACAATCAGCCACAGAGCCCAGCCCAATATACTGCAGAGACAGTCATGGGGACTGGCCAGTGCTCCCATCTACTTTGGGCAGGCTTCACCCATAACCCTCCACTCTCCCCACCCTCCATCCCCTACATTTACCTCAAACTTAATCGCATGCTCCTCAGGCTTCAGTGGGGCCAGTTTGGTGCTGGGTGGATGGGGTGGGGGCAGGAAGCGAAAGCCAGGAAGTGTGAAGGCAGGAGCTCCATCCCCCCAGGCACTCAGGTTCCCTGTCACCCACCCCTGGGGGCCTCGGACCACGTATTCAGGCAGGCGACACCAATGCTGCTCCGGGAGCTGCCCTTCACACTGCTGGGGCCCATGAGAATGGTTAGCCAGGCATCCCACCTATGGCTACCCCAGTCTTCTCAGCCCAGACCAGTCAGGGAACTTGTCTGGCCTTCCTCCGTCCTGGCCAGTGCCCACTGGGCAGCTGCCAGTGCCCACTCACCCTATTTTCCACTGCCCTAAGCCCATCCTGGAAAGATAGCACTAAATGCCACACTGAAGTCAGATGCTGGCCATGGATGGTGACACGGGAGCCACTGTGAAGGAGAGCAGGGTGGTAGGCTTGGGGTGCTCTCTGAGGCTGGCTCCCTCATTCCTAGGAAACCAGAGCAGGCAACGAAGTGACACTTACGTGTAGCCACAGTTGGGGCTGATGCTCAGAATGACGGGGTCTTCCTGATAGTGGAAGGTCCAGGAGCCAGGCACCTCAGCACCTCCCACCTGCAGCTGAATGGGAACGCTGGCCACAGCAGCCCCGGGGGGCGTGATACATAAAAGCTGCCCCTCAGTGACCCTGCAGAACAGGGGAATTGTACTCAGGGGCACCCTCATGTGAAAGGCAGGCCCACCTCCTCCAATGGTCTGCCGAACCCCTGCCCTGACAGGGATCCAAGCCCCACCTGGTGATGGCTCCCCTGGGTGGCTTTCCATTTCCTAGCCTGCAGGCACTTACTGTTTCAGCAGGCACTCAGTCCCATTGACCAACACAGCCTGGCTGGTGCCTGCAGACAGGTCCTGGCCTTTAAGGGTGAGGCAGGTGCCCCCTGCCTTTGGGCCAAATAGGGGTTGTACTGCTCTCAGCACTGGCTCCTAAGAGAGTATGGAGGTGGCTTACCTGCAGTAGGAGGCCCTCCACTCCAAGCCCTTCCCTGCCCGTACTGCCCAGCTGGCCAAGGGCACAGACAAGGCAAGATGGCCTCACCAGGAAAGAGAAGCCTTGCAGCATGGAGGTGCCGTCTACCCAGAAGTGCTTGCCCCTTGGCATGTTGGTCACGGTGAGGCTGATGTTGGCAGGCCCGGCTGCCTGTGTGCTCAAGGGCTTCAGCTCACACTCAAGCTCCTCTACAAAGTCCTTCCGGGGCACTGGGCTGGGGGACCGGGGAAGTTAAAGTCAGCTGGGCATCACACAGGCTTAGTTGCATGCCGGCCACAAAACACAGGTCTCCTCTAAGCCTGAGGATGGCATCTCTCCACCCATGCCTTCCTCCAGGGTAGAAGGGCTCTGGCAGGGCAGAGACTAACTTTGCCCAATCTATGACTCAACGGACAGGTAGGGCATATGCAGGCTTAAGAAGGAACAGAGATATCTCCCCAGATACAAAGCAGCCAGAGCCACTGCAGCTTGCCCCATACCTCCCTCCCCCCGATAAGCAGAGGACAGGGTCTCACAGAGAAGGGGCTGCTTGGTTGCTTCCATCAGGGATAGGAAGGGCAGGGACCAGGTGGTACCTGAGGTTTGAGCTGTCCTTGGGCAGTACTTGGCAGGGACTTTCCCCCACGGTGACCAGATGAGTGCCCTCAGGCACTAGTCCAGCAGGGTACAGGTAGAAGTTGGAGCCACACAGGGTCAGCCTTGTGCTGCCCCTTAGGGGTCCACTGTGGGGGTAGAACTGAGAGGGGAGCAGATAGCCTGAGTCCCTTTGTGGGCCAGGACTCTCAGCCCTATCTGCTTCTCCCGACTTTTCTGCTGACCCCCTTGCCTGCCCCAGGTTCCAGTCATTCTAGGTCACTTGTTAGTCCTCACTCAAGCACCTTTCTGCCTCCAGGTCTTTGCTTGTGCCATTCCCTCTGCCAAGAATCTCCTCCTTGGAGATATTAAGGACATCCCAGGCCTGAGGAAGATCATGGTCAAGACCTGTTGACCCCCCATCCCAGGCCCAGCTTGTCCCATCTTACTTGTGCCCTGCCAGGCAAGCCATACCTCAGTAAGCTCAGGTGGGCAATAGTCCTGTTGCCAGGAGCCAGGACACTCCTTCTGCCGGCCACACATGCCCCCACACCATCCACAGCCCATGAAACGCTGTGCCCTCAGGCAACGCCAACAGGTGAGGAAGTGGCGGCAGCCAGGGCCTTGGATAGGTACCTGGAAGACCTTGGAGGGGCAGACAGGCGGCTCAGGGATGACTGGAGGGAGGGACTAGGCCCCATAGACTCCCTGATCCCATTGTAGTTCAGGGTGGTGAGACCTGTGTCACTGCCTCCCTGATTTGGGTAGGGAGGCTGTGCTCCCACAACCCTGGCCCCAGGCCCTGTCCCTGCTCACCTTACCTGGTCCCCAGAGGCAAAGAGCAGGTGATCCCCAAGGCGACTGACATCCCGTTGAATGGGCTGCCCATTACTGCCCAGTGAGAAGTTGGATACATACAGCAAGAAGTTGAAAGATCTGGCCAGCTCCACCTGGGACAGGTCAACTGTGAGCAAAATGGGGATGGGATCCTGGGAATAAGGGGCTATGGAGATGAGAGACCTACCTGCAAGATGCGCCCATCAGCTGTGCCCATGTGGGCAACTGTGACATTGTCGAGGCGTGTCACATGCAGCGCGGTGACCTGCACTGGTCCTAACAGCCCGTTGAACAGGTCCACACGTAGAAGGCTGCCGCTGACCAGCAGAGGGAAGTGGTAGCAGCTGGCATTGGGGCTGGGGGCCTCTAGGCCAGGCTGGGGAGCATCAGGGAAGGAGTCAGGGCTCATCCACATGCACTGACCCACTGGGGCCTCTGTCAGTGACCACAGCAGCTAAACTCCCACCCCTTACCTGGCCTGGCTGGAGAGTCTCCGCAGCCCCCTCTCATCCATGAGGCTCTCAGAGGTAGCAAGGCCAGGGAAGAAGGCCCATGCTGGAAAGCCGGCACCCCCTACACCTTGCCCTACCTTGCCACGTCCATTCTGATAATGAGTTAGAGTCTTACAGATTCAACCCCATTCTGTCCTCTCAACCACCCTGTAGTGTGGGGTGTTCTCCTCATCCCCATTTTACAGATAAGGAAACAGGCTCAGAGAGGTTTGCTCACTTGTCTAAGGACTTAGAATCCCCTCAGGAGAGGAGCCAGGTTGGAAGTCTGAGCTCTTAGTCAAAGTCCTCTCCCGCCCCCTGCTGGTTCTGCTCTGCATTTCAGCAAACTCTGTCCCCTCTGTGGGCTTGTTTCCACACCTGCATAAGGGGGCTGAACTCTGAGGTTAATCGGCCAGCAAGGGGTTGGTAACATGATCCTTCTCCCTGAATCTCCAAAGGTCTTCCTGAACCTCCAGCTGCACCCTCCTTCAGGGTACAAAAGGGATAAACCAAGGCCTAAAGCCCTGGGTGCTAGGCTAGGCCTTCAGGACTGGGAGACACTAACCTCTCCCTTGCTCTTAGTGGGAAAGTGTTTTGGGGCTGCACTCAGTGTCCCAAGGTAGGGCTGCGGAGGCCTCTGGGAAGCCAGGAAGCCAGTCTATGAATGCAAGGTATTGAAGCTGGGTGCAAAGTGCAGCCGGGCTCAGTAGCCCTAGTTGCTTGAGACCCTCCCTCGCCAGCCCTGAGGGCACTCCTCAAGGCTGATAAGAGGCCCCTATCAGACCAAGAATGCTTAACCCATTCCTGAAACCTCAGCACTGAGTAGGAGCCCTGGTGGAAAAAGACCAGGTGCAGAGCTGGGATCCAAAACTCCATGCGTTCTGGGTCTGTAGCCAGGTGGGTGAGGACTGAGATTCTGTTCTCACTGGAGGTGGATAAAGGGCCTGGCTCTAGCCAGAAGCCAGCCAGGTGTTTTCAGCATGACTCAGGGACAGGTGGGGCTGTGGGGTGGAAAAGAGGCCCTACCCTAGTCAGGGCCACACCCCAGCCTTCTTGTCCCTGGGCTCCAGGGCCTTAGCTCTGGGTCCCTAGGCTTGTCTAGGGGCCCCTGGCTTCTGAAAACACTGGACTTAAGTGTCGAATGCCAGGGCCAGCCCCGTGGCCGAGTGGTTAAGTTCGTGTGCCCTGCTGCAGTGGCCCAGAGTTTCACCGCTTCGGATCCTGGGCGTGGACATGGCACTGCTCATCAAGCCATGCTGAGGTGGCATCCCTCATGCCACAACTAGAAGGATCCACAACTAAAAATATACAACTATGTACTGGGGGGCTTTGGGGAGAAAAAGGAAAAATTAAAAATAAATAAATAAATAAAAATTTAAAAATCTTTTTTTAAAAAAAAAGTATCCAATGCCCCATAGAGGGTGACTCCTCCAGACTCGAACCCTACGTGAACCCATGGAGGGCAGGTACCAGCTCTGAGTCCCTCAGGCTTCCTGAAGCCAGCCACAGTGAGCATACAGTGGGTATTGCCCCAGAGGCTGCATGCTCAGTCACTGGACAAACACTGTACAGACTGGTTCATACACCTCCCAGGGGCCTGGCCAGCCTGTAGGCAGGGCTTGAGATTAGTTCTCCTGGAGCCTGGCACTGCCCAGTTGTGCTGGGTGTCTTCTGACCCACTGACCACTAGCCAAGTTGGGGAGAGGTTCTGACTCCCCAGAGGGAAGGAGAGGAAGGCAGGCAGGGCTTCCCAGGCCCAGACAAGGGATCTCCATTCCTAGGGCCTCCTCAAACCAGATGGACTCTGCTGAGGGAGGGAGGCTGAAGATTCCTCACCCCTCATTGTATATAAGTTCTCACCCCATGTCTGGCGCATCAATAGGAACTGGAAAGGCGTCAGTGGAGAAGGTCACAGCAGGGCCAGGGCCACATGGCAGCCAGAGATTCTGAGAGCAGTGACTGTGGGTCAGCTCTCTGAATGACCACTTGTCCAATGCTGTTCACCCCATTTCCTTGGTTTAATTTCTTGTAATCTAGGGTGGGACTATTTCAATGGTTTCAAGAAATAGGTTTCGGTTTTGTCCTTAGGGAAGCTTTGTAAAGAATGTCCTATTTGTCTCTGTTCCCCTTGCTGCCACCATGGCTGGAGAGAACCTGGTTAGGGTCTGCTGGAAAAAGCCCCTAATTCAGCATGGGCTGGAAGACCTCCTGTCTAGGGTGAGAAGGGGCAGGGCCCCAGCTACAGAAGAAAGTCTGGGACTCCTACGTGGTGAGCCAATTCCAACCAGCCCTTCCTAGGCTGTTACTCATCCCTAGATGTTTATAGTTGTTTGCACAAGACTGGGATGACCTTCCTGGAATCTACTAGAGCCAAGCTGCCTTCCTACCACATCCCAGGTCCTCCCTCAACACCCCATGGAGAACTGTCATGGATGAGTGGGTCAGTGAAGCCCTCCAAACTTCCAAGGCTCAGGACGCTCCCTAGAACTGGGGTGGGGGAACATTCTCTAACAACTCCTGCCCCACCCTCTTTGAAAAGCAGAGCAAAACAAGCGCTCCCACAGGGAAAGTGAAACTGTTGGTGAGCAGCTGCCTGTGTGAGGGGCGGGGAGGGCGGGGGGTATGCTGTTTTGGAGGGCGGGGGCTATGCTGTTTTTCTGTGTGTGTCCTTGAGGGTATGTGTGGTGGGGAGGTAAGAAGGGACACCCAGCATTCTACCCAGACTGGCAGTGAGACAGCTATGATGCAGTCCAGTTCTCACATAATCAGGGAAACTACCTAAAAAATCAGAGGCCATGCTAGGTAAGAGGGTGAAAGAAGAAAATGGGACAGCAACAGGGGCTAGCCTGGTGGGGACATGAGCCTCCAGTGTGGCCTTTGGCCTATTCCCTCACACCACCCCCAGCACTAAGGAATCGAGTGGAAAAGAAAACTTCTGCCCACCTGCCCTCCTCCTCCTAGACCCTCTCAGTGGTGGAAGGAAAGCGGCCTAGATTCAGCCCTGTGCTTCCAGGTGAGGACCCCTTCTTTCTGCTCACCGGGTTGGGGCATAAACTGGGCAACTGGAAGAAGTCGAGGCCTCGCCGGAGGCCGGGATGGACCGAAGACTCACAACAGCGCTCTACACCTTGGTCGATGAGAGTGTCCATCAGGTCGATGGGGAAGGCACAGACGACAGAGTTGGGACTCACACCGGGGCTGCTGTCTCTGCTAGCCCCAAAAACCCCGAATAACACTTCCTGGCTCTCAGCGATGCTCAGCTCAGCGGCCAGTTGGCCGCCCACCGGAGCCGTGTGGGCTGCGCGCAGCACTGGGTAGGGCTGCCCACCCTCAGGGGCCCCACGTCGCCGACGTTTAGGCTCATAATGGCAGTCAAGGATGAGCTCGCGGTAATCACCCAGGTCGGTCTCGGCAGCGTTAAGCCGCGCCAGGCGCGTGTGTAAGGCACCAGGAGCGGCTGCCACGTTCGCTGGTTGCACGGTCAGGAAATAGACGAAGGTTCCCGAGTGGAAACTGTATACGTATTCAATATGGTAGGAAGTGAGGTGCGACGGCAGCACTGACAGCGCTGGAAAGCCTGGTGCGAATCCTGAGGCGTCGGCTTTGAGGCGCCGGATAGACACCGAGCGCGGGCTGAAGCTGGCGGCCACTGTCGTGTTCAATGAGGATGCCACATAGAAGTAGGAGGCATGGCCCTGCTCAACCACGGTCACAAGGGTGCCCAGAGGGCTAGCCACACAGTCGGGGCAGTCCTCGGGTCGGTTTTGGTGTGCAGAGAAGAGGCAGGCTGGCGGCGCCAGGTGCACTACTGTCCCGTGCAGCTCTAGCTCATGCAGGAAGCAGCGGCCATGCAGGCTGGAGCCACAGCTGACCAGTGCGGGCAGCGCCGGCTCCAGCACCAGCACCTGCGCATCTGTGTCTCCCGGCGGGCCGTGGAGACCTGGACCACAGGCCGCACACGTCTGGCAGCCAGGGGCCCCAGCAGGGCCCGTGACCAGGCTCTCGACTGGCTGCAGACCAGGCCCAAGCACGTGCAGGCGATTGCGTGTGGCCACAAACACGGCACTCCCTTCCCCAGCGCCATCGTAGGTCGTCAAAGCCTGTATCGGGCCGCCGGCCAAGAAGCTGGGGACCACGTACTTCACATCAAAGTCGCGGGAGGCGGCGTAGGGGGTGCGCGGGCACTGCCAGGACCCACCCGTCGCCGGCAGGGTCGGCAGCAGAAGCAGCAGCAGCAACAGGGTGGGCTGAGACGGCGGCGGGAGGAGCGTCATTGAGGCCCAACTGGGGCCCCAGGGGGATTCCTAAAGGCCGGGGCCTGGCTGGGAGCGGACTTGAGGTCTGGACAGGGACCCGAGTCCAGCGCTGGTACTGAGAGCTCTCGGGCAGCCAACCCCGGCCCGGGGCTCCTGCGATGCCCACCGTCTTCTCCTGCCCTCGAGTTTGAGCACCTGGCGCGGGCTGACACACACACGGGGAGGGAACGGAGAGGGCGCCTCACCTGCCGTCCCAGTTGCCTCCCGGAGCTGGCGCTTGGAGCAGTCTGCCTCGGACCGAAGGCGCCGCGCGGGGCGGGCGGGGCCAGGCCGCTGGGCGGTTCTGTGGGCGGGGCCTGTTGAAGGCCTGGCCTAGCCCGGCCTCTCGGCCCACCTTGGAAGCCTGGGTCCTACACCTTCTCTTTTCTCAGTGGCCTGTGGGTGGGTGTGGATGGAGTGGCCTGGAGAGAGATAAGTAGGCCTGAGCCGTCCCATCCCGCCCCCAACGACTGGCTGGGCCAAGGTGGGGGTGGAGGAGACTGCCTTAGTGTCAGTGAGGGTTGGAAAACCACCTGCCTCATTTCTTCCCTTGGAGCCAGTTTACAGCAATACCCTCAGATGCTGGTTCCCAGGCAAGGCCTGGGGGACCCACTGTGTGGGGAACAGAGACCAGGAATGTATGGAGGACCAGAGGGAAGAAGTGGAGGGACCCCAGGAGTGACGAACACCTCTGTGGGGAGGAACCATCTTTCTGTAGGTCTGCCCTGGGCTGTCAGTGACTGGATCATGTCAAAAGCTGCTTTGCACTGGCCCACCCAGGGTGATAGGGTTATAAAAGGGGCCAGCCCTGCTGGCTGGAAATCAGAGTCAGAGGAGAGGCACCTTATGTGGAGGCCGAGCCCTAGCTCTGGTCCCTCCACTGCTGCCTCAGTATATGGAAGCTGTAGGATGGGGATAACAAAATATACAATGCTAGCCTTCCTTTCTGGTTCTGCTCCAGTGGCCCCTCATGTCGGGGAAGCATGAGCTTTAGTTCTCAGGGCACCTCTAATTTCCTCTGTTAGCCTAGCTGGGCCTCAGCCCCTCAGTCTCTGAAATGAGGATGTTATTCTGACTAGGTGGTTGCCCAGAGCTCTCTCCAGGCTATGATGTATATGGGGTGAGGGCAGAGGAGGCAACTAGGTCTGCTCTTGCCATCTCTCACCTGGACCTCAGTGGCTGCCCCTTGGTAACTGGTCCCCTTCAACACTGGAGGGAGGCATTGGGGGACATCCTCAGCCTGACAGCCTTTTCAGCCAGGTGGGCCTGGGGGTGCTTCATAGAGTGACCCTTGGGCTGAGGTCCAAGGGACCTGTGTGCTGTGGGTTCCAGGGCTTTGAAGGGTAAAGAGTGTGGGGGAGGGAGAAGGCTTCAGGCCAACAGGATTCAGCCTGGTCCGGGGAGCTGTATCTCCTCTACTCCCCCACCCAGCCCATACTCTTGTTCCTCCCAGGAGCACTCTTTTCCCTTCTTCCTCTTGCAACTTAGATGGCACCTCTTCCAGGAAGCCTTCATGATCCAGGTAGTACAGGTCCATTTCCTGGGTCCCACAAACACTGTGGTATACCCACCCCAGCACAGTTCTTCTGAACACTTGCCTCCCCCACCCCGCCACATTCCTAATGCTGGACTCCCCTCCCCCTCCAGGCTGGAGCTTGATGAGCACCTGGTGACTGAGCGAGGAAACAGGGGTAGCCACACCCAGTGCTGGGAGCATACCTTGACTGAGGCACTGTAAAAGGCACTCCCTTGCTAGCCAGAATTGGCCCGGAAATGAATAAACACCCATTGAAAATTGTGGCACGGTTCCCATGTTCCAGTCAACATGTCTAAAGACAGTCATGTGGGGCAAAACTGAAATGAAACATTCTCTGCCTGGTGCCAAGACATGGGTTCTTGTGACCCTTCATCCCACCTCTGGACATTTGGAGAGATTTCTGGGGGTTGGGAGGAGACTCCAGGGGCCCTCCATGATCACCCTAGCCACCCGTTTTGGGAGTAGGGGTGCAGCAGTCAATAGTTGGTTCTTTGCTGCCGCCATGTGGCCAAGCTGTTGGCTACCCCCAGGCCGACGTCTCCTCGCAGGCAGCGTTGGTCCTTGACAGCGGACATCCACAGAAGCACTCCTTCCTCCTTCTCCATCCGCTTGCTCCACAGGAAGGGACAGGTAAGCCATGCTGGGGAAGTCAGCTAATGGGGCCTTGCAGTGCTGTGTACAAGCACTCCCCCAAGGTGAACTCACAAGGCCTGGCCCTTTTTCAGGTTAGGACCTGCCCAACTACCCTGGCAGCTGTCACTTTGAAGGAGTGCTAGCCACTTTGCCCCCATTCCCCTCTAAACACTACTCCAGAGAACTAGTGCCAGCCTCTTTTTCCAACCCAAAGAGATTGTCTTAGTGGCAGCACAGGGACCTCTCTAACCACATCACTTTGCAGCCTTAAAACATTCAGTGGCTCTCCATTGCCAGACTTTTACCTGAAGTTCGAGAACCTAGGCCTTGAAGATTCCTCTAGCTTCGCTGTAAACCAGTCATCCAAGTTCTTTACCAGGTCCTTTCGTTTGTACATGCAGATGCCTTCACTAGGAGAGCCTTCCCTATTTGTTATCGCTTCCTTGATCCCCAAACAGATAAACCACACACTCCTAGATGTCTACTGTCCTAGGTACACACACTCATCTAATCGTTACTACCCCTTCTCACCCCTGCCCAAAATAGGTGAACTGCAGAGAAGCCAAGGGCCCTACAGGGATCAGGGCAGTCAACAGGGGCGCCTAGGGGCTGACTGCTGACCAGAATAACATCAGTAGCAGTCAGGGACAGATGGCTGGCAACATCCCCAGAAGCAGTGGTTTGGTGCCCTAGCCAGGAGCAGAAGCAGGAAACAAGCAGAAGAGAGACCCAGGGCATGTGTGCAGGGTGAGCAGCACCCACCAAACCTGTGGTGGGCCCCCAGGGGCTTTGGGTCTGGGCAAGTGGCCTGCTGCTATACCCATTCTAATGTGATCTGAAGTGGGGCCAAGGGCAGGGGCTATGCTTCCATTTCCTGGGACAGTCAGTAGAATAATTCTAGTACATCCTTGGCCCATGACACCCACATAGACACATTCTCCAACATGGGTTGGTTTTAGTGGCAGATTACCTTGGCCCAGCTCTCAGAGACTGCATGAGGGTGAATTACTCTACAGCCTGAAGATCATATTCAGTGGACATTCTCTCCCACAAACACTTCCTAAATCTTTTGCTCCCCCAGCCAATGAGATGGTTAAGTTGTGGCAGAACTGAGAGAGCCCTCCAGCAGCAAAGTAGAGGCTTTCTGCACTGTGCCTTAGGCTCTGCCCAAAGAGAGTCTCATGATAGAGTGAATGGAGCTGGGCCTTCACTGCCAAGCCTCCTGCAATGTCCATGGTGACCCACTTAGACTGGGCCATGCCAGGGAACAGGGTGACTGAAGAGGACCCAGTGTACCTCATGGCATCAGCCTTTCTTAGGGCAGGATCTACTCCTGCCCTAGAGGTCAGCTGGGTCTTCTCTCAGGCCCTCCAGCTCACTCCTGGGGGCCTTTCCAAGGAATGTGCTGGCTGGAGGTGGGGGAGCTGAGGTGGACAGCTCTTCATAAGAAGGCCCAAGCTGGAACAATTTCCTCAAAGGACTACAGCTATAATGAGGGTGGACTCTGAATTTGTTGCTGAATACTGGACCACCTCACCAGGGCTCAGACTCTCTCCACTTGCCTGTCCCTATCTTATTCAGCTCAGCCACTACAGCAGCCCATTAAGCAGAGCCACAGCCAGGGCTCCCAGGGTGGTTGGGAGGTCCCCTCTCACTCCTAGGTGGGCTGGAGACCCCATCTAGGAGTGAGAGGGGAGGCATCAGGGGCTCAGAAAGAGTATGGGAGTGGGCCTGGGGGGGAGGGCATGGCCAGTGAGGTGGTAGAGAACACTTTACATGTGGTGGGACTTCAGCTGAATGAAAACAGCTGCAGCCCAGGGTCTGATTCTGAGCGTATGTGGCCTGATGCTGTATGAGGGAGGAGGAGAGGGGCTCAAATTGTGCCCCTATGCATGGGAAAGCATGGGCAGAGGCTAGGGAGGAGGATCTGGGGTCTGTATGTGAGTGACAGTGGGTGAGTGAAGGAACTAGTGACAAGGCCCAACAAGTGTCTTCCCCATAGCACTTTAATGCACACATCAACCCACAGTCCTTGCCTTCTGCCTGGGCAAAAGAGGACAGCCCCAGCTGGAGGCTCCCCTGGCTTCCTTGGCCCAGTGTGCCTAGGAGGGCTGAGCCCATGCACATTCCCATCAGTAGGTGAGGGGTGTGAGGATGAAGAGGCGGTCTTCTTCTTTGCGGATCCAGCGCATCAGCTTATGGATGGCACTGACAGCCGATGCCTTGGTCCCCAGGGGGCTGTAGCACATGTAGAGCTCAAAGGCACCTGTCACCTGGAGGAGGGAGCATAGAGTGGTCATCCAGGTTAGACACCCCTTGTGGCCCCTGCCCAGAACCCCAGCTTAACCCAGGGCTGCCTTACCCAGGCCAGGAGGTTCTCGTTGGGGCCGGTATAGTAGATGGTCTTGAGTGGGCGAGAGGCATTGTGGGCACGGCTGTGCAAGTACTGGTAGAGGCCCAGCAGCCGCTCCTGCTCCTCTTCACTGGTGTACGGAGCCTCAATCTCAGGGCTGGAGATGGGGAAGTGGGTTCACAAAGAATAACTTCCACGGCCTTCTCTGGAGACCTAGAAAGACCTATTCCTAGCCAGGGAGACTCTGCCATGTGTCCTATCCTCTAAATGCTCCCCCAGGACAGGGCATTATCTCCCCACCACAAATGACTCCCCAGGACAGGACTGGGCCGACTGAGACTGGAGACCTGTTCTCCCGCCACCCCCAAGTTCACAGCATCTTTAGTGACCCTCCCTTGGAGAGACCAATCTGAGTTTAGGTGTCCAGGACAGAGTAACAGGTTTGAAGTAGGAGAAAGGTGAGCTGGGAACCTTTTGGACCAAAAAGGGTAAAGGGAGGACAGAAGCTGCCACATCTGGCCCCAGCCCCTCTGTTGGAGGAGGAAGCAGTGGAGGAGTTCTGCATCCTGGGCTGGACCAAAATGACTCTTAGGCAGAGTTGCTCAGGGCAAGTGATCCAGGAGACCTCTGTTCTAGATTTCTTCTCCCAGTGTATGGGTATTTTGAGGCCTTCTGGGTAATGAAGTACTTAGAGAGGTGTATGCCTATGGGGAGTAGGGTGACAGGGAGTCTGGGTCCCTGGTGTCAGAGTACAACAGACCCAGC